TTCATCCTCCCCGATGTACTTACCTGGCATCCAAAACAGGTGGTGTGGGGGCTCCGGGGCGTGGCAGGGCCAGCCAGGGGTGGCAGTTGCCGGTTCGTCTGAACCGATCATGATAAATGATAAAAATTAGCAAATGGTTCCCACAAACCGGAGCAAACCGGTAGCAGCCCACCCTGGTCAGTCCTACCAGTAGTAGGGTCAGGAGGCCGCTCAAAGCCAAGGCACATTAAACATCCAAGTTTATTCCCTCCTTGCCCATAGAAGGGGATATTTGATGTTTCATGACCCAACTAGGGAACATCATCAGTGCTAGGAGGGAGAGGCGGAGGAGGAAAGGAAGGAGGAGAGGGAGGAGGAGGAGGAGGAGGAGGAGGAAGAGGCAAACTGTGAGGTTCTTTGGTGTTCTCCGAGTTGGGTGGTTTCCTTGCAGATGTTTCGTGACCCAACTAGGGAACATCATCAGTGGTAGCAGGGAAGGGGTTCGCGGGGAGGAAGAGGAGGAGGACTGTGGGGTCCTTGGGGGGGGTGTCTCTGAGTTGGGTGGTTTGACACCCCTGCCCTAAGCCATCCCGGACAAAGGGCTTCCCAGTCTCTTCAGCAAAACCTCCACTTAGCCAGCAGTTCCACCGGTGAATTGTTCTAACGGTTAGGAAATTTTTCCTCCTTAGTCCTAGGTTGCTTCTCTGCCCTTGACGAATTTCCACCCGTTGTTGTTTTTTTCTCTCTCCTCTGCCCGCCCGTCCCCCGCCCCACAGGGACCCCAACCATCCCGTGCCGCAGGACACCAAGTTCATCCACACCAAGCCCAACCGCTTCGAGGAGGTGGTGTGGACCAAGTTCAGCACCAAGGACAAGCAGTACCTGCACATTGGTTTGAAACCCCGCGTCCGGGACAACTACCGGGCCAACAAGGTAGCCTTCTGGTTGGAACTGGTTCCACACCTCCACAATCTCCATGAGCCCCCTTACACCTCCACCACCACCCGGGTGGCCCCGTACGCCACCCGTTGGCCCGGCACCCGGCTGGGCCCCAGCACGACGCGCCAGCCCATCGTCACCTTTCCACCAGACGACGATGACGGAGGTCGCCCGCCCCGCTACGTGCCCTTCCCGGGGGACACGCGGGACTACTCCACCGAGCTGAGCGTGACGGTGGCGGTGGGCGCCTCCTTGCTCTTCCTCAACATCCTGGCCTTCGCTGCCCTCTACTACAAGCGGGACAAGCGGCACGAGCTGCGGAGCGGGCGGCGTCTCAGCCCGCAGCGCAGCGCTGCCAACGACTTGGTGCATGGCGGCCAGGAGGAAGAGATCATGTCGCTGCAGATCAAACACTTGGAGCATGACGCGCACGACCTCGAGCCCTTGCGAGCGCATGAAATCCTACGCCCCGCCTGCCCTCCCGACTACACCCTGGCCCTGCGCCGGGCGCCCGATGACGTGCCCCTGATGACGCCCAACACCATCACCATGATTCCCAGCACCATCAGCAGTATGCAGGCCTTGCACCCGTTCAACACTTTCCCCACCGGACACAACAACACCCTCCCGCACCCTCACTCCACCACCCGTGTATAGTCGTTCCTCCGGTGCCCAAAGACCCCCAGTGGGAGGGGCGGGAGGGGGAGGAGACACGGGGCATCCTCTTGCCAACCTGCCTCACTCACCCACCCCCTCCCCAGGGGGGAGGCCCTTCTTCCCGCCCCGTGGCCTGTACTAAGGCCTTTTATATCACACCGTAGGAGGTACGGCAACCGTAAGGAGGGAGGGGAGACCCCGGTGGGGATCGGCAGTCTCTATTGCCCAGATCCGGGAGTGGGGGGCATCGCAGAGCGAGGACGTGGCGTGGCACGAGGATGTAGTACGGCGTGACGACGTGGCGCAGCACGATGGCGTGGCGCGGCACGATGATGTGGCATGCCCTGGAAGTCCACCCCGCGTGGCTCGCCACCATTCCTTCTGAGG